TTTTTTTTGAAATAAATGCATTTGGCTTTAGTAAATGAAACTAAAATGATCTTGTTTGCTGTTTTCCAGGTCGGTAAGGAGAGGAGTCCGTCAGTTCAGGGTGACAGCATCACTAGCCTTCCCATCAGCATCCCTCTGAGTACTGTCCATCCCAGTAAACTTCCAGTCAGCATTCCGCTGGCCAGTGTGGTGCTGCCCAGTCGGGCTGAGAGACTTGTACGTTTTCTCTTCACAGTTCCTACATTACAATACCTAGACATCTCTGCCCGACTTTTAGTGTGAATAATTGTTCACTTTCAAATAGTTAGTATTTGTGTTATTGGTTAGGTTCCATGTTAAATTGCTACTGTTTATAGTCAGTTTAAATATTTGTTTCTGCCTTTTACCATTTCAGAGAAATACTCCCAGCCCTGTGTCTCAGTCAGGTCAGACCAACGGTAAGGAGGATTCGATAATCAATCAGAGTTGCCCATAAATCAGTTTTGTTGCTAAACTACTGATAACTACACGCTTTCTAAATGTTTCTTTATAGCCCTTCTGACATTTAGCTTACTAAAACTTGTACAAACTTGTTTTAAAATATCTTTATACATCTTTTGTCCTTACTCTGATGGAATTTTTAGAGAATTCGCTGATGTAAAAACTTGTAACGTTACGTCTTCTTCACTCTGTTGTAACATATACAAAGAAGAGTGCTGTCAGTGCCACCTGTTAGTTTAGCTTGGAAAAATCTTAGATTTTTAGGTTTTTGAGCTCTCAAATCTGTTCTTCAGCAGATTTTTACTGAATTATATGTGTATTTATCAACTTGAGTCTGATGTGGCATATCTTATTTAAACTCAGAATGTCTTAGATATGTTCTTTGTTTGGGTCTGACCTTAGACTGTTCCATCCCTGCAGGATATTCATGTAGCTCAGGGCTAATGAATGGAGGTCCCCACCCTGAGGACCACAATGGTGCTTCTTTATCACCTCTTCCACACAGCAACAGTCCTTTGACGGGACCAATGGGTCGAGGCGGTCCCATCCAGAGCCCGTCGCTGAGCACCGGAGGGGTGCTCCACTATGCCGACGGACCCCCCAGGATTCTTCCTGAAGACGGAGCGGAGCGCCAAGGTGAGGAATCCGACACAGAGCTGCGAGACGGCGACCCGCCGAGGAAGATTTTCTCGCCGTCTTCATCTCCGTCTTCCTGTTCGTCAGGCAACGGGAACTGCGTGACTGGAGGATCACGCCTTCATCATCACGCTGGCTCGACCAAGCAGGGATACCACAGTAACCATGGGAACCACCACCACCAGTCTCCGAGCACACAGCACGCACACACGCCAACACACACGTCATCCTCCCACAGCTTCGGCTCTCAGGAGGGCCGGAGGCGCGGGAGGAGGAAACGCGGCTCCACCGGGGCGGCGGCCAGCGGATCCCCGAAGAGGCGCTCCTTCCCCGGGGTCAGCTCCAACAGCCACTCATCAGGATCCCCACTCAACATCAACTCCATGGCGAGTCACTAACGCACCTGGAAACATGAAGTTGTAATCCTCATACTGTGGTTGCCAGATTGAGCGGTTAAATGAAATTGTCTGTCTGAGCTAACAGAGCTTTTTCTTGTTTACCTGAACAGGTGAACAACATCAACCAGCCTCTGGAAATCTCCGCCATTTCTTCTCCAGAACAATCAAGCCGCAGCCCCCACGGTCCCGACCTGGACCAGCCCCCCGTCTTGAAGAGAGAGCGCCCCCTGGAGCTCAACGGTACCGGTCGATACTCGACCACTCCCAGCTCGGACGACGAGGACTCAGGATATCCTCCCGACAGCTCCAGTTCCCGGTAATGTAGCGCTTCAGAAACGACCACAAATGTTGCCTGAACTGTATCTGTTACAAGATAACTTCCTGGTCCTGGGTTTAGTTGCAGATCTTTTCTTTTTCCCGTTATTTCTCCAGGTCTTTTTTTGTTTTTTTGTTTGCTTCTGCTGAGAAAATAATTGTTTTTAGAATTTTATTTATTTATTTATTTATTTATTTTTTATTGAATATGATTCAGTTCTGGTTAAAAGTTTAAAAAAGGAAAATAAGTGAAAACATTTCTATGTTTTTCTTGTTACTGAGCACTTTAAGACATCTACATTGAAAACTGGTCACACTCATTGCTTGGATGTGATTTTTGACCCATTTTTTCCACAAAAACTGCATTTAAATCCTAAAGGAAGTGGGATCCTTTCAATGCACTCTGATCTTCAGTTCTTATATTTCTAATTTTACATAAGTCAGGTTACCAGCTGGGCCACTCCAGCAGAGTCTTTCTCTGAAATCAGTGTAGCGTTTCCTTGGCTTTGTTTTGGGACTATTGTGTTGTTCGGAAATCCGGACACTTTTCATCTTCATATTCTTATCGAGAATATCCTGGTCGGTTCATTCATCCTCCTTCACTTACAGGAAGTCTGCAACACAGCCACACTCTTTATGTTCCCATCTGCAGACTTCTGGTGATTTAGGGGAGATGAGCAGAAGCAGCCTTCCTCCTAGCATGATGTGTTCACTGAAATCCAAACAGCTTTCTCTTCATCTGCCCAGACTGCTTTTCATTGTCAAATCTTTCAAACAAACTTCAGCGTGCTTTTGCTTCAGCAGTGAAATCAGTGATATTTCCAGAAAAAACAACCATCTTAAAACTACATGAAAAGTCATTTTAATGTTAAAAGAAAAGACTTCTACAATTATCTAGATCTGACCTAAAGTAGCTCGGTTCGTCCGCTTTTATTTATGTAAACAACTGTCTGTTTCAGTTGTTTTAAAGTTTTGATACTAATAACAATTTGATGCTAATGTATGAAAAGATAAAGTATATCCTTATCTGTAAAACCGTTACCATGGTATCACAGGATGCTCAACATTCCTGATTTGAATCTTTTTGGGATTTTTTTTTTTTTTATGTAGTTCATTCTCCTGATGTTACAACTTTACTCTTGTAATATTATTAATTTATTCTCGGAACAAAATAAAATAACCAGGCTCTCATATTCCATCAGAGTTCACCTGAATTCTAAGTCCAAATAAACTTAAGAAGTGAAACACGCTTGTCAAACAAGATGGCCGCCCTGTTCATTCTGACATCACTCTGAACTTTAGAAACCCAAGGAGTGCATTGGTGGAGGGAGGAGAGGGGGGGGAGTCCAGATTTTCCAAAAATTAAATTGTCAAAAGTCTGTCACTAAAACTAAGACATTCAAATTGTTAAGTTTAAATTCTCACCAGAGTTGTATACCTTCTTAATTCATCGTGTGAGTTGTGCCACATGGCTCATGCTTGTTTTGTTTGTCCCTTCTCTTTTAGCATCGAAAGAAAAATAGCCACTATATCACTGGAGAGCAGAGATGGGCATGGTAGACTGGGTGATGGGGAACGAGGTAAGAAGAGAAAACCGCACGCTTTGGGAAACGTTTTGCTCATGTAGCCTTTTATTAGTTATTAGGAAATCGACTGTCTTTTCTTTCCACCCAGGAAGGAAATCTGGTAGCAGCAGTGGCAACAGCACAGGCAGTGAGGCCTCCTCTTCGTCCTTTTGTTCAAACAGCAAGTGGAAATCAACGTTTTCCCCCATATCAGACCCCAAGCAACCCAACTCGGACCTCAGGCAGGGGGGCTCCCCGTTCAGCACAGGGGGCTCGAGCCGAAGCACAGACTCCGATTCGGACTACAAGCAGCAGAATGGGAGGAAAGGGGGCGACGGGGATTCCTCCAGTTACATGACCCCCAACCCTTTCCTCAGTCAGGAGACGGGAACGTGGGCGGTAGCCAGCAACGGCGTCCAGGGAGGGACCGCTTCGGACCAGCGGCAGGTCCTTCAGAAGCAGAAGGGCCCGCGCGACTGGGAGCTGAAGACCACCAGCAGCATGGCCAGTCAGAACCTCTTCATCGCCGCCGCTGCCGCCAGCAGCGGAGGAGGCATTCTGAGCGGGAAGGTTGGGGGCAGCCCTGTGGCGGTGTCCTCAACCACCGGGTCAGCGATGGGGCAGTACCTGGGCTCCCAGTTCCCACTCGGAGGAGCCTCGGTCCTGCAGTCCTTGTTCGGGGCCCAGACGGGTGTCACTGTGAACGGGACCTCCCGGCTCGTGAACGGACACTCTGCCCTCGGCGGCTTCTCCAGCGCAGGGCTGGCAGGGGGAGCAGCAGGAGGTGAGCATCACTGATCATCTATCAGGTTATCATCAAATGTAGGAACAGTCAGAGTGAGGTCTTAGTTTTATAAGAAAGGTGAGTGGGAACACAGCGTTGCTCTGTTTTTGTTTTTGTTTTGTTTTTTTGTCTGAATGACAGACTTTCTGTGCTGCTTTGCTTCCTACATGGACTGGCTGCTTGAATGATGCAATTAGAAACGCCCTGGGACAATGTTAGGAACAAATGAAGGAATTCTGTAACAAAAGTGAATAGAAAACAAAAACAATTGACAAAAACAAAAGTTGAACGTTTAATCCCATGTCATTTTCCCGGGGTGTATATATTTGAGTTTTTGTGTCAGAGTCAGTTTACTAAATCCTGTTTCTCCGTAAATTAATTTAATCTCTTACAGGGCTGGGCGTTTATCGTATCGTTTATCATTTATTGCGAAAAACTTCTTATCGTGATGAGGATTTTGATTTATTGTTGACTTGGTGAATTTCAAATAATGTTAAATACAAAACAAAATGATTGATAATGTTATTTTTCTCCACTGCTAGTTCCACGAGAGAATCAGTAAATGTCAGTAAACTGAAAGATGTGACAAAATGCAGTTGCTGTAAATCTTTACGTAAGCGGCGTCCTGAAGAATCCCGTTTCAAATGGGAAGGCTTTTCAAAAATAATCACAGACATACAAAGAAGTGAAGTAGTATTATTTTTATCGCCATCACTATAGTACCACAAATTATCGCGATAAAATTCAAATTTCTTGCCCCCAGCCCTAATCTCTCAGTTTTTCTGCAGCTAGCAGTGGACTGACTCTGTTTGCTTTTATTTTTTTGCCTGCTTGTCTCAGACTTGCCTGGCGCTTGTGCTCAACCCGGCTCAGCCCTTGCTTCTCTCTTTGTCCCCCTGTCCTCGCTCTCTCCGCTGCTGTCATCTGCTCTGTCTTCTTCCGCTCTCCACTCTCTCGCCCGTTTCTGCTGTGTGATTTGCAGGTATTTTTCACCATGTGGTTCCCTCAGCGTCCTCCCATCAGTTTGGGGCGACGCTGTCCACCTCTGGAGGCCTCAGCTCTCTGCTCAGTCTCTCCTCCTCTTCCTCTGCCTCCCCCCAAACCCAGCAGCACACCACCGCGCCGCCTGCCCCCACGCGCCTCACCTCCGTGTCTTCATCTGCCCCACTCTCGCTGTCCCAGGCCCAGCACAGCCGCACGCAGTCAGTGCTGCACAGCCCCTCCCCTCCCACTCTCTCGCTGCCCCCTCCACCACCCCTTCACAGTGTCCCTTCCTCCTCCTCGTCCTCTTCCTCCTCAGCCTCCACACACCCTGACGTCTCGCCGTCTTCTAGGTCAGAGCCCCTCCACCCCTCGCGTCTGCCCCAGCCGTCCCTCCATCACCAGCGAATACACTTATCTCTCTCGCTTTCCATCACCACCTCCTCCACTGCTTCAACTTCTGTCTGCACCACTGTCGCTGCTTCCCCCTCCCTCCCCTCTTCGTCTCTGTCCACCTCGTCTCGTCCGTTCGCAGTGCACTACTCCCCCCGGCTGCCCCTGCCCCCACCGCCGAGCGTCTCGGGCGGTGGGGGGAGCATGTGGAGGACTCAGGGCATGCATGGGCCCCACACCGCCGCCCAGATCCCCGGCTCCCGACCCAGATAGCGTTTGGGCCAAGGGGCAGTGGGGAGGAGGGGATGAGGAGGGGAAGGGCGGAGGGCGATCAGAGGGTGGATAGAGAAAGATAGGGAGAGAGAGACAGAGACAGGATACCTGTTTTCCCTGTTTTTCTACCAGCTGTTGTTCAGAATGAACAAGGTAAGAAGACTAATAAATGTCCTGGGTGTTTTTTTTTTGTTTTTTTTTAATCATTTCAAAGTGTGCGTTGTTAAGGTATTAACACCCCTTGACCATTCCATGTTTTGTCAGGGTGCTGCAGCAAAAAAATCTATGTATTTTAACAGGATTTTGTGTGATAGACCTAAAAGTAGTGCGTAACTTAAGTGCATGGTTCTCAAACTCTTTTGCACATAAGAACTGAAAAACGTGATATGCATTTTTGTTGTTTTGCTGCAACTTAACCCGCAAAGGACTTGACACACAGAGTAACAAACGTATCTCAATGCTGACAGCCGACGTCCTGAAATATTTGTCAAAGTTCTTAGCATTCGGCCTTGGCCTTAGTCTGGACTCCATCCCTGCTCTCATTTCTCTTGAGAATGTGTGATTCTTTAGATGAAAAGTACAAATTATTCACTGGGATGTGCATTTCTAGATTAAACACAGTAACATTCAAAACTTGTTTAAAGCTTTAAGCTTTGGTTGCTTGTCAACCTTATAAGCTTAGAAAGATATACAACTTTTGTAGCATTTTTTTCTTTCTTTCTTTTTTGCTAAATTTGCAACACTGTTTAAATTTAGTGTGCCTGTGTTGCAGGCTACTTCTTCTCAGCACTGCTGCCGCCTATTGACTAGAGGCTTGTTTGTGGAACAAGCATGAATACAGACACTTATACTAAAACCTCCTGCCTTTTGTGCCGCTTCCCAGTACATGAGAAGTGCTGAACCTAAACCCATCCTTGCCCCGTCGGCTCCGGTCGTTGATCTTCATGTTCCGGTTCTGCTAACATTCTCTAGCAGAACAGTTGGATTTATGCTTAAATACTTTAGTTTTTACTAGTTTGGTGACTTTTGAAAGCACTAGATATCATTTGCATGTACCTGAGTAAAAAACAGCTAATTTGTTCAAATGTTTGATAACCTTCCACTTCAGTTATTCACAACTTTTCGTTGTTTTATCACATAAAGTTGCAGCAAGCTGCATTAAATTGGTGTTTGTACCGTGACTAAATATGAGAAGGGCTCAAGGGGCGCAAAGACTCTCCCAAAGCACAGCACGCTGCTTTGTTGTTGCTGTGTGAAATGGCCTGAGTGACCGACTGTGGTTTTCTGTGTGCAACTGTTTCAGGTAATTGATGGAAACTACCTCAGCAACAACTATGCAACTGTCCAGGCGTGGACCAAGGCACACTCCTCATTTACTGGTGCTTCAAACTGTCTGCACTACCCAACCGCCTCCAAGACCGGCTTCTTACGGGGAAAATCTGGGACACGCGAACGCACACACACACACACACACACACAAACACACACACACACTAAGGACCACTGTGGTCACCTGGAGAAGAATCTGCAGTGGAGAGTCTTGTTTCTGTTTGCTAAACGAAGATTTAAAATCTGAAAGTCAGCGGTCGGAGAGAGAGAAATAATTATCAGTTTCATCTTAAAGGTGCTCAGATATGAATGTGGTATAACAAGGAAGGAATGAAATCCTTTAGACCAATAAAATCACAGCATGAAGCACACATCCTGTCAGCTGAATCAGATGCCACACTCCTTCCAAAGCTTCACGTCATGAGTGTGTGTGTGTGTGTGTGTGTATGTGTGTGTGTGTGTCTGTGTGTGTTTGTACACTGAAACACAACCCAGAGCCAGTCGTCTGAACTGGGCTCAGATATCATGCAGCTTTTGCCTCGCTGTATGCATCTTCTCTTATCCATTCTTCCCTATGAAGTTGAGTACATGTTTCATTTTTTTTTTTTTTCTCAAGAAGCAAGATGAGGATCATTTGGTTTAACTTCACACTGGATATTAGGATGCAGATGTTCCAGTCTTGGGTGGGTAATTTGACACCCTGATATGTTTTCTAAAAACCAAAAAAAAAAAAAAAAAAAAAGAGAAGATCATTTTGAGTTCCTGATGCATTGATTATGAATTGAAATTCAGCTGGAGTCAAATTAGACATTGGAATGAGGTGTGATTGACTGTATTTTCATCTAATATCAAGCGTTTAGCATATCAGCAAGGCTTATTTTGTGATGCTTATCACAGTTCAGACATTTCTCCTCTTAATAATTGAACTAATGAATGAAAAGTATGGAAAACATCTGTAGATGTTGCAACGATGTTCTTGATTTTTAGTCCTGGGGGTTCACATTACCAGCCGAGTATGTTTCAATCTAAAAAGATGAAATGGAAATGAAATTCACTAAGCCACACGGCTCTCTGAGAAGGCAGCTGCTCTGCAGCGGCGGCTCGTTGTCGGAGTCTAGTTGAAGTTTGTGAAAAAGCTTAAAAGCAGGTGTACAGAATTAGAGAATTCAACTAGCTTCTCTATTTATTAAGATTTCTGTTTCTAAGTCAGTTTGATTAAGTCACACTACTACTTGGAATCATTTCTGCAGCCAGGTTTTTTTTGTTTGTTTTTTTTTAAAACAGAACTTAAGCTAAATTTTGCCCTATTTATCTTTGCTGCGCTTGGTGAAAACAACCACGCACACATACACAGACAGACATGCAAAACCCTCAAACACTGGCAAGAAAACAAACAAACAACAACAACAAAAAAAAAAAAAATTTACAGTGACCACAAGGAACTACTGGACTCCCTTCACACATTTGTTTGATTGTTAATTGTCTTTTTTTTTTAATTATTATTATTTGTTTGTAAACAATGTACTGTGAATGTGATTCATTCTCCAACTGTATAGTTGTGAATAATTCAGAAGATTATTATTTATGCTGTCCGTCTCTCCTTTTTGCCTTGGTGTTTGTTCTTCACTTTGAATTGTGTTGACAAAGTAGAATGCAATAGTGCGTGCGTGGATGTGTACTTGACTCACAGTCTGAAAACAATGGTGCTAAGTTTGGACTGTGCCTGATCTAATTTATTGTAAATTGAAATCAGAAAAAAACAAACAAAAAAAAACAAAAAAACAATTTGAATACTTGGTGCTCTACACAGGGACATTCGTTAGGCCGTATTTTCTTTGGCATTTCTTTTCTCATATTTAATATGCTGTTGTCTCAAGTTTTTAGCCTAGTGTACAGCAGTAGACGCCGCCTAATGATGATAAAGCTCTCCAGTAGCTGCCTCAGAGTCTGAGTAAAATAGGTGTTGATGTTTCTCCTACAGAGGGTTTTCATATAGAGTCGGACTGCTTTTTTCTCTCAGAAGTGAGCTTCTTATCTCTCAGTGAATAAGACACACTGTTTTTATATTTCGTTTTGTTGTTGTAAGTCTCCATCAAAGTTTTATAAAGTATGTATCTATTTACATCTATATAAGTAAATAAATATATATATGTATATAGCTATAAATGCAATATATACATATAAATGTATATATAGAGTAATGAGGGATGTTTGGTGCTCACATTCTGACCCTTATTTTCAGCCTGTTAAACAGGAGGCTTGAAGCCAAGCTGAGCAAAGCATTACCACCTCGGGACCTTAAACATGGCAGCGTAGCACCACCTGAATCCTCGTGATGTAAACAAAACAGGACTAGATACTCAAACTGTGTGTGTGTGTGTGTTCATACTTGAGCGCTAAAACACACACACACACACAGCGGTGCTGTAGCTTGGACACGCTTCGAATCCAGCACTAGAACTGTTATCACTTTAATCAGGTGTTTTTAACTCTTAGTTTTCTTTGGTTTTGGACCCAGATTCTGCAGAAGAAAAACAAAATAAAAGAGAAAGGAAGAAATGGTGCTTCTGTTTCAATGCAACGTCACTTCAGTTTTTACTGTCTAGATCTTTTTACTGGTGCATAAAAACGCCACGTCGGCGTCTTCTCCCACACTCGTCTCTTGATCTCTTCGTGACGAGGCCGAACTTTGTCAAGTGACCGTGTTGTGCGACCGCGAGCAGACATGCTGGTGTAAAGTACTTTGTGTTGATGATCGAGAGCAGCAATGCTTCCCTTTTAAACCTTATAGAGGAATTACACTTAAGCTCAGTTACGTGCGGGTGCTGTTTTAATTTTTTTGTTTCCTTTCTCCCCACTCTTACCGGTGCATATCTAAGGGAAGAACATTGAAAGCTTTATAGTCAAAACCTCCTGTCCTGTGCACTCCCCATGTAAACCGATGTTCTCACATGTGAGTGTTTAAACAAACAGAAGTAAGTCATTTTCAGACGTAGTTAGAGACTAGTCCATTTGTTACCAGCACTGAGAGGTATTTTGTAATTATTGTTGATGCTGTTTGGATTTTTTTTTCTCTCTCTCTCTCTTCCTATTCTTGGTGTTTGATACAATTGCAGTTACATGTAATGCTTTTTATGGTGTATGCAGATTCCTGTCAGGTTTTATTACTACTATTCAGACGGACAGCACGGTGCTCTCCTTCACTTAAAGTAAAGAGTTGCAGATTTTGATAGATCCTACCCTCCTCCTGTTGTGCTGCAGGGTTTCATGGTTCCAACATGTTCGACCTGAGCTCACTTTGTTGCTTTTCGGACGGCCCGGTCCGACTCTCGGGGCTTTCCCTTGGAGGTGATTTGATGCATGTGCCACTAAGAAAAGTCTGCGCTATAAAAGGTTAAACGTGCTCAGTGCAGCTTTCAATCAGTTTTGTAGTTAACGCACGCAGTAATATTTGAAATTCAAGCTTTTTTTTTTTCTTTTTTTTGCAATACTCCTGGTACATCTTTGGTAGATGTGAGTTTTTGCTCTCAATGCTGTTTACTTCGAATCCTGCCAAAGGTCTTAACTCAGGAACCTTCCAACAGTTTTCTAGAAACAACTGTTTTGTTTCTTTTTATAAAAGGGCATTGAGTCCCAGTAGAATCTAAGCTCAGGACAAATTAACTCTGTGAGCATGCTTTAAAGCAAAAAATAAAAAATAAAAATCTGTCTGCGATGTCCTCAGACTGACTCCTACTGGCATGTGCGTCCACACCCCCAAGCGAAGTCGACCCCTTGTGAGTCGCTGTGATCTCCGAAAAGCCGTGAAATGTGCTTTTGACATCTTCCTCATCTCACAAATGCCTCTGTCTCGAGATGTGTCACCAAGAAGGAGGCCCGTCGTCCTCCCTGTCCAGCTCCCTTCCCCTGTTGTCGGGACGGGCAGCGCAGGACAGACGTAACCTCGTCGGTGCGTGCGGTGACTGATTGGCGATGCCAGGGCAGGTTTGAGGTGCAATAATGGCAAACCTACTTTCCAAAAAGGCCCTGGGTTTTTTTTTTCCTGAAACAATTGTTACTGTTTGATGTTGGTGCTTTTATCCTATGATGTTAAAATGAAACAAATGGAATTAGTGGGGCTTTTTTTCCTGCCTTTTATGTTTATTAATAAAAAAATGTTTCATATGATATTGACACATCTTGGTGTTCAGTGTGTTTAATCCCGACTCGATTGTGTGTTCAATTGGTAGAGATATTGATTTTCAACAAAATGAATATCTGCCTGTATACATACACAAGCAGGATTTCTGAAGGATTCTAGGAGTACTATTTGAAATCAAGACTTTAGATAAATTAAATTCACCCCATAACTTACACAAGTAGAATATAACCCTGAAGTTAAATTAATGGGGTTTTTTTTTTAATGGTTTTGTACCCAGCTTCAACACCACACAGCAACCCACAGAGGGCCGTTTGTGGCCCTCTCAATGATTTTATGCGGCCCTGATCACAAGCACATCTGGCCTGCACCTTTTTTTTTTTTTACAGACAAATTCTGTATTAAAAATAATGTTACAATGTGAGTGGTACAACAAAACTATTTTTTAACCACGTTTCTGCATTCATTTTACTCTTTATAGTAAATATAACCACATACATCTGGCAACTTTAAGTAAAAAGGAGACTTGGGTGCTGCCATCCACTGATTAATGCAGCAAGAGCTATGAGAGGAAAGGGACTCACCATTTCCCTGCTGCTTAGAATAAATGATAAATTTGTCTCTCCCTGAAAATAAAAACTCAAAATACTTCACGTGCTTGTCTTATAATAATGCAATTGTGCTAGGGCCTTTTATAAGATTTGGATTTATACTCATGTTCACAACAATTTCACTATTTTGAACATGAAAGCATGTTCAAGTCTTCATTTAGCAGATAAAATAAAGCAAGATACAATTATTTTACATTATTTATTTTTAATAAATACATTTTCAGACTTTCAATGAAAAAAATTAGATTGTATTTAAGACTTGAAATTAAGAATATCAACGACCCAAAAAGAAACTTTGATTTTAAGCACAAATTGCTGACTAAGACTCCTTTCACATTAATTGCAACTTTAATAAACTTTATTGATTCAATGTAAGAGACCAAGAGAAAGCAGCATATTGTAAAGTGGAATGGAAATTACGCTTTCAAAATATGTGTCATAGCTAAATGCCAAAAACAATGACATGCTTTCATATCCAGATTACGCCAAGAAGTCCCAAAGTTAGTCTGCAGAATCTGCCTGTGCCCCATGAAGTTTCTTGGTCCAAGAACCCAGCAGGCAGATAAAGGACAAAGTTATGGGGGAACTTGAAAGAGTGTTAGAACAATATCCTAAGCTTTGAACACACACAGACACTCTCCATCCAGTCCAACTGAGTTGGATTTACCTTCCAATAAGATTGGACAAAGCTGTAATTGACATGATCAAATTTCATGTTCATGTCATCTAATTGGCACTAAATAAAAATGCACATCGTACCTTTCTGATTATTTGTAAAAACAGAAGAAAAAAAAAATGCATTCAAAGCTGTTCATTGTTTTTCTTCCGTTTCACCACTATGCTCTCTTACGGATAAATAACTTTGCCGTTTTTCCTGAGAAAGTGAAGCTTTCTCTCCTGCCACTTGGTGCTGACAGAGTAGCAATGTCCATGAATGGGTCGATCCTTTATCTCCTGGGATTCAGAGGCGCTTCAAGGGCCCCGAGACCTTGACTGTCTGCAAAACATGGCTGAATTGGTGAGAACCTGAAGGGAGTAGCGTCTCTGTAGGGAATCTGTTTCCTCCGTCTGCTACAATTTCAGATACTCCATAACCAGAACTGTTTCACAGGATAGCGTGAATGGTAGTGCTTTTCTTTAATCTCCTTATTTTTTGGTAATGTTTAATTAATCAAATGATGTTAATTTTTTTTTAAATTCACTTCTGGATCTTCCAAAAGGAGAAATATATTCTTTATAAATCAATGCCTTAATTGGCATCATTAGTAAGAGAAAACTTTTGATGCACTACTATTAAATTTTAATCCTGTGTTTAAAACTATTAATAGATTTGCAAACTTTCTTTAAACTCCGTTTAGGCTATGCTGTGTTAAAAATGTTGCGTTTTCTGTAAAGTGCTCCGTAGAATTGTAGATGTAATTTTTCAACACTTGCAAGCTATGTTGTGTGCTATTAGTTGGCAGTGTTAGCAGAGAAAACGACATCTAATGGTCCACCATTAATCTGTGTTTGTTTCCAGTTAAATCCTCCCTTTATGCTTGTTTTTGCTCTGACTTCTCAAAGTTAAAGATGTTCAACAAGCCACCCCAACCTGCCTTCTGCCTTCCTGAGTGGTGAACATTTCAAATCCTCAAGGACACATCAGCCGTCTTTTTTTTTCTTTTTTCTGTTTTAATCATTTCAGTGCCCCACTCCTCTGTTAGTGAGAAGAAAAAGGTGGGAGGATGTTACTCCCATCCGCCAGAGCTTGACCCAAACTAAACAGGCAGCTCAGAGACGTCTGACCGCACAGGTGTCCTCGCGGGCAAAGTGAAACATGTTCTTGTTGATCCTGCTCTGGAGCAGCTTTGGTCCTGCAGCAACAGGTCAGGCTGTGGTGCGAGGTGGCGTATGCCCATATCTGGCTTTGTTTTTTTCTGCAGCTCTTCTGATCTGATCCCCACATGTTCCAGTTTCTGCAGCGCGTCAGGATGACCCCTGCTTTGTGGACGACTTGGTGGCGGCTCTCCATGACGCCACGGGGAAAGACGGTGAACTTCTAGCCGGCAGCCCGGCTTCGTTTGGGATCTGCAGTGAATCCGACAGTTCATCCCGACCAGTCCTGTCAGAGCTCAGCGTGGGAATACAAAGGAACGACCGAAGAGGAGTGGAGGTTTTGGATCCGGCTGCAGGTATCGGGGTTTACAATCTATGACCTTTTTTTTGTTGTTGTTTATTTCTTTTGAAAAAATAAGAGATTTTATTATTTTTGTCATGCTTGCATGGTTTTTTTCTCCACTAGTGCTTGTGTCAGACGAAGATGATCAGGAAAGCATCATGGTAACCTTTGACCTCCCACAATCCCAATTATTGAAGATGAAACCGGTGCTGGTCTTAGCATTTAAAAGCCCCCCTACAGATGGAGAGCTGGGCGTCACTTTCTCTAGTCAGTCTCTGCAGCCAAACACACAGGTACAGAAAAAAAACCACACACACACTCTGTTGTAAAACTGTGTGACATTTTTTATGTGTTAAGAAAATTACCCATATCATGGCAAGTCCAAGAGTATTTGGGACCTCAAGCAGAATTATATGAAATTACAACTGATCACCTAAAAAAAAAAAAAAAATTCTTTACAAAAAATTTTTCCCTACCTTTTTTGTGCCTTAAGAAAATAAAAAAGGGAAAAAACTCCTGACACAAAGGATCATAATTCTATATTGCAGAATATAATTAACTTGATCATCACATTATGTAACAAAAATACAACATTGAGTAAATTGCAGAAACTGAATGTTTGTTTTGTTGTGTTTTTTTAGTATCCATTTAGTCATATAAGTTGTTTCCAGTGTACAGTGTTTCAATGCAGACTAGTAAAGCTGGGGGTTTTTTAAATTATTTTTTTCTTCAAAGTTAATTATTTTTAATGAGCATCAGAAAACGTTTTGTGTTTCGATATTAAACTATGGAATGTCTGATGAATTAATATTTTTGTTCCTAGAATATTTGTCCATTTAAAAAAAAAAAGAAGGAATACGTTTTATTAAATTAGCATGTTTATTTTTAATTGGGTCATTCTGAAGTTCTTTTGGGGAACCCTAAGCAGCAGCAACTTAGTCTGAGATTCACATTATTGTTTTTTTAAATTTAATACCAATTATTTTCCCCGAAGTTGCAGATTTCACTGTGTTCTGACCACAAGGTTGTTGTTGTTGTTTTTTTTCTAGTCTGCTTGCATTTCAGCGAGGACGCTGTACATCCTGCTAACAGGAAAATCATCTGAGGGAAATGTTGAACAGAAGTGGAACATTTCTGTTCAGGCAAAATCCCCCAGCACGAGTAAGACATGCTGCTTATTTTTGTTTTCTGTGTCTCGTGTGTCATCTTCGACCTCCTCACGGTTTCCTGTCGTGCAGGAGAAAACCTGAAAGACGTCCTTATTGGTGGAAAATCAGGAAGCGACATTCGCCTGACCCCGCTTCTGCTTTTCTCTGCAGAAACAGGAACCGATACGAGGCTGGTTTGGGTTTCACGTTCCTTCTTTCAAGTGATGTGGTGCCGGATCGAATTCTCATTGTCGTCTCTGTCTCAGACATGCAAACAGGTCGGGTTCGTCAGCTGCCTCCTCTCAGAGAACTTCTCTCTCCTTCCTGTGTGAGCTGAGACGCTTCCTTGATGCCGGCCTGCCGCAGCAAAGCGCCGAGCCCCCTCTGCTGCGGCTCGACTCCCTGCAGGCCCTTCCTCCCCTGGCTCTTGACCTTTCCACCAGCGAGTCCCTGCTGGCGGAGATCATTAACTCCTCTGCCCCGACAATCTTTTCCTTCAGCAGCTGGAGCTCCAGCTTCCCGGTCCGTCCTGGACAGCTGGCCCTTTCCCCTGCCCTGCTGGGGGAACTGGGGCAGAGGCTGGAAGCGAACGAGCGGCAGATAAGAGAGTTGATAAGGCAGGGAATGGTGCCTCAAAGAGCATCGGAGAAGCTGGAGAGGCTGAGGCGGCTCAGTGCTTTTCAGAAGCAAGATTCGTCAGCTGAAGGTGTGTGGAGGCAAAAGCATCAGCCTCTCGGTTACATTGTTTAAGCCTGATATCAAAAAAATAAATAAATAAAACAACAATATCTTATTTTCTGTTCCAAACAGGAGAGAGCCAGTACTGCGCTTTCCTCCTCCTGAAGGCCCTGCAGACGGTGACCCGTGCGTACAACATGCAGAGAAAGCTGAGGGCCGCCAGAGCAGACCCTTCAACCAGGGGCCCCATCTGTGGGCTCGGGAGCCTCACTGTGTCCCTGGAAAAGCTTGTCTTGGGTCCCCAGAGTGCTGACCTCAACAACTGCCGCGGCTCGTGCGCGATCCCGCTGATCAACGGCAACAACCACGCCGTCCTGCTCACCTACCACACCGAGCAGGGCGACGTGAACGAGCGGGGGCCCTGCTGCGTGCCGCTGGCCTACGACCCCCTGGAGGTGATAGACTGGAACGACGAGGGCAGCTTTCTCACCAGCAAGCCGGACATGGTGGCCAAGGAGTGCGGATGTCGCTAAAAGTGTTTCGGAATGCCTGAGCTTTTGTTCTCCAGAGGGAAATAAGTGTTTTGTTTTTGTTTTATTTTTAGTTTTTGCTGCATGAAGTATTTAAATAGTGCAGTAAATTCATATTATTTACATAGATTTCTTTAGATTTTACTTTCAAGTAAATGTTGCACGATGCACGTCATATATATTATTATTTTTTGTCTTAAAAAGCACAGTCAAAGATAATTAAATAGTAGTTAAATGATAACGCATTAAAAACACTGTCTTCAAAGCCAGTCTGTGTTTTTCTTTTTGTCATTTATTCTGGAGTCTGATGAGTCAGTGAAAGAAATGTGTAACTTAGCTTCATGTTTGTGTTTCACTCGTTAGCTTTCGGTTTCAAGATTGCTTTCCTCCCTATTGGCTTTTTTCTTCTTCGTATTGCTCCGACTTCTTCGGATCCCCACCAACTCGTGACACTGTCCCATATGGAAAACTGAGGGCAGAAAATAGGAAACAACATTGGTTCTAAACGGCAAGACAAGTTCACATTAGGATTGAAGATTAAAGCATGATGAATAATATAATACTCTGAATAAAAATGATCTCTAGACAAGTGGTGGCCGGATGTGGATCAATGATAATCACACCAAAACTACAAACTTCAGCAAAGTTACAGCTTTTCTGTGCTGTTGTGAGATTGATGAGAGTGTGGAAGAGGCACTCAATAACGATTTAACATAAAGTTACCATCTATTCTCCTACATGTAGTTATTTTATAAACACAAAAGCCTTTTTACTTCATTTCAGGTATTGGCAGTCCTTTTGTAAAAGTCTGTCTTGATATGAGTATAACTTCACAATTTTGTCCTTTAACACTTTTCAAGAAATGTCACCTTACAAAATGCATTATGTCCATGTTTTTCACATTTTATTAGGTTAGGAAATACCAGCTAATACTAAAATAGTGTTGTATTTTATATAAAACAACAACCCAAAAACAAGATAGTGCTTTATTATAAAGTGAAAGGAAAATGATCTGACTCCAGCTGCGAGTCTTTTGGGGAATGTTAAAAAAAAAGGGAAATAAAATGCATCAAATTCCTTTCATTCGACAATTACACACTAATTAGTGTTGGTTTAGCACAAACAAAATACCGTGTGATTCTGTAACGTGATAGTCTGTGAAATGGCTTAAAGATTGTGAATATTTTACGACTGTGCGTAATTTACTGCCATCAAAAGGATGAAAAATAATCCACTTTCAAGCTTTGTATGAAATGTATCTATAGAACCCCTAATCCTAAATTTCTTTGTTTAGACAGAAAGAGTTGCATAAAAAGGATCAGCGTTGGAGAGACAGATCCTACCTGAGGTAGAGTACCAGTCTGGAGACAGTCAACCAGATACCCGATACCCGTCTCCTCCACAAAATAATCCAGAGCTTCTAAAACACACAAACATAAAACACCCTCAAGTCTGCTGAAACAAACTGGTTAAAAATTAGACAAACGCTATCATTTGTTGTGTTTAAAATAAATAATACACTAAAGTATAATACACATAGCTGAACTGACTAAATATCTGTGTTGTGGTTGAACCTATTATTGAAATAAGTTTAAAAAAAAAAGAAGAAAAAAAACAATCTGACAGCCTGAGATTGAACCATTCGTGTACATAAAACGAATAAAAGTGATGGGAAGCGAGCACTCACCATGAACTTCATTTACTCCTGAGCTCACCAGAAGCACAACCAGCACCACCACCAAGCAGCGGTTCATCGTGAATCCCTTCCATGGATTCGGAACGTCGTTCAAATTTTCAATGGACAGAATCCGCTCGTAAGACACTACGGAAAGACGGAAACGCGTCAGAGAATTTGGAGTGGCGTCCACACACCCAGATGGCTGTTCATGGTGCACATTAGTATTACTTCTGATGGTTTTTTCTTTATTCGCTCCAGGCCTAACTCCTGAATTCTGAGAATCGGGATGAAACCTTGGTCCAAACTGAATCTGTTTTAAAAACAAAGACTCAAATAAGTACTTTCTGTTTTTCCTTTTGGTAAACCATGCTTCACTGTACAATTTAAAAGGTCTAAATCGGGGCCTGCAAACACACGGAGCTATTAAAATTTGCTGGAAGGACCTCACAGGTTTGTTATACGTTAGCCATCAGAAAGTAAACATACCTGAGTTTCCCTTTGCAAAGACGCAAGGGTCGGAAAAGTTATGATCCCTGTTTTGAGTCGAGTAGAGGGGAAGTGTCACACAAACCCTTCAACATGCTCCTGAGCTTCTTGACTGACAGCAACAGAAGAGAGGCACGGGGGCGAGGGGTGAAAGGAAGATGATATTGATAGTGCTCCCTAATCCCCAACAGTTGGAGAAGTGTGCCAGAAGTAGCAGTAGCATGCCGAACCTCATACCCCTTGAACAATTTCACAATTTCTTATTATGCTACAGCCCGAGACATTAACATTTTTATTGGGAGCGTTGTTTAATAGAGAAATCAATTACAATTCTCAAGTCTCACCATAGAGGCTCAGTTGGTTTCAGGTCTTCGAGCCATTCTAACACATGAATATTCAATGACAGCTCTAGCTTTATGTTTAGGGTCATTGTTCTGCTGGAAAATGAGCCTCTTCACCAGTCTCAAGTCTTTGGCAGACTCTAACAGGTTTTCTTCCAAGTATTCTCTGTATCATCCATCAGCTCTCCCAAGCTGCACTTTTCCGTTTTTACCTGCTCAATCTCAAAGACACAATATTTCAATAAAACAACGTAGTGTGATTTTCGAAGAAAATGGATTAGGACATTAAAAGGACCTCGTACATTAACAAAAGAAAGGCACACAATGTCCCAAACTTTATAGGTCAAATTAATTTTACTTTCTTTGTCTAAGTATTATTATTATTATTATTATTATTATTATTATTATTATTATTTTATTTTTTATTTTTTTTTCTTTATTATTATTATTTTTTTTGTACTCTCAGCTTCAAAATTGGGATGTGGGACACGTTTTCTTCCAAAACACTTTCTGTTAAACCAAGTTTAATGCATGGGTGAACACAAGCTCAGAAAAAAACCATAGAGTACTCATATAATAACTCATAATAACTCATAAAAGTCTATTTTTCCAACATGTTTCTCAAAATATGGTTCAACACTATTAAAACTGTATGTCATTTACCATAGAAACAGATCTATTTAGAGACATTGCAAAACAAACTAAAAGGGACAAATATAGAAGTAATATTAAACAGTTGATAAATGGTCTGATTGTCTTGTCCCTATACGTCACAGTGATCGGGACACTCCCCTGACTGATAACCGCAGCTCGCAGCCTTGACTCTGCATCAGCCGACGAGGAGAGGAGACGGAGCGAGCAGCCTGTGGCGGACGCTGGCCGGATGGTTAAATCCAACCTACAGACGATTTTGAATAGTCATTGTTTTGTAAGAGAAAAAGAAAGACCCGAGATGCCTGTTATTGAGCAGTCCAGTAATAAACCTGAAAGGTATGTCGGTGTCAGCTGTTTTAGAAAAAAAAAAAAGAAGCTAAATGCTAAGTTCTAAAGCTGCGGCCTATGCAAGGTGTACTACTGTCTATTTACTGGAACGACTTGTACAAGTCATGTATGTTGTTCACAATAACACGATTTTATATGGTATTTGACGCTCCTAAACAGTTATCAGGAATTTTTTTTTATTTAATAAAAGTTTATAAATGATGTATATAAACATATACTTGATGTACTTCATTACAATTTTAAATATATACTGTACATTGGTAACCAGCAATTAGACAGAAGTCACGTAACGTTGTTGACAGTCATTGCTGCTATTAGCCAGCTAATGCTAACCGAATGGCTAATATATGAAACGCAATTGAAATGTGTTAGCCCGATGCTAAGTGCTACATGTTAGCTGTTTGGAGCAAGATTAGCTTTGAATTTATTTTTAATCGTCAAATTAAAAACATTTATTGCTTAAATGATTAAATTGTAATTTAGTCGCATGGCGGATACGGATAAAATTCTTCGTTTTGTGCCAACTTTAGCTAACCTTCATTGGGTTATGTCATCGATGTTGTTTTTGTCGCTGCCATGATAATAATGTGTTATTCTTGATAGTTGACACAAAAACATGACAGTTTCGTTAAATTGTATAGTATGTCATGCTGCGTTTGTATGAAAACACTTAGAAGACAATTATTTAATTTACTTTCTCAGTTTTATGCCAACCGACGTCGTGATGAATCGTGTTTTAGCCCCCATCTGTCTCGCATGCTTACAAGTGTTTGGACATTTTCCGAAAATCCCACTTAAGGCAGATTTATTTTGCAACTGGCAAATCAGGCGAAGGTGCTATGATTATTTTAAGCAACCCTTTTCTCCACCTGATTCTGATTTGGCATCTACTTTGCGGATTATAGATGTCGGGGTTAATTAAAATGTTAACAGGGCAGATTAGCTCACTTATGTCTTCATCCGGAATCATGAGTTATTCTTTACTGGTACGTTTTTCCTGTTCTGTGTTGAGGCGTTGTTGCTCAGGTTCTGTTCTCACAGGATTTTATTCAGGCGGTCTGTCCAGTTCTGACGTCTTTTAAAGCTCTCGAAGGAAATTTCCACTGCACTGCGAAAGGGGGTGGCATAGAGGACTCTGAGACAGCTAATGATACACAGTGTACATTTGCTCTTAGATGGTACAATTATTATTGTTATCATAGCTTTAACCTTGACCAATTATTCCACTGGATGTATTGATGAGTTACGTAACATTTTCATATGTCCGATGTACATTTTCAAAACACTGTTAAAGTGTGTACTGATGGACATCAAATGAACATTGATTGTTTATAAAGGAATAAGTCTCAGCTGATGGTTTTATAATGACTATTTCGCAATCATGCCAGGTTTATTGCCTTAAAGATTTGTTTTATTGCTATCAGTCTGTTGGCTGAGTCAGATTGGGGTTATGTAACCACTTGTGGTACATGCCAGAGCTTTTTTTTTTTTTAAATTGAAATTAAGTAGTGCGTAGATACACAAGTGTGTCTGAAGGTTTGAGCTCACATTGAGTAATTAGGATTTTGTGGCTGATTTCTATTCTCCGACTTTGTCAGGTCAATTTTTGTTCCTACTTAAGAGCTGTGATAAATGCAGTACACTCTATGAATTTGGTTTAATTTTACCCCAAATAAGTTTTATGATTTTCTAAATTCCATTTATTATAAAGTATATACTAAAAATACATATCCTGTTTCATAGAAAGACAACCTGAAATGTG